CGTATTATGAAGAAAACAGAGTCGTCCACAAGGTACAAAAGTGAGCCGGCTTACAGAAATGAGTAGATAAAATACTACAAGGTTATAATAGCCCTTTGCCGGCATGTATTGCGAAAGTCTGCTGTTAACACGATTTCTAACACTGCAAATTGCTCAAAAACAATGTGTGCTTATCGGGAGGTCCTAACTTTTGCGGAGCAGCGCGGCATGGTTTTCGGCGCGTGATATTTGTCTTAGACCGAACGGCATCGCATAAAAAAACGATGGACCTGCCCAGTCACGATCTACTTCTCTAAGTCTTCTCAAGAATATCGGCTAGTTACATTGCAAGTTGAACTTTAAATCTCTCATCAGGTAAAGTTTTGCTTCCGTAAATCCTCAGACGTGTTACTTGAGACACAGCGGTCGAACAAATGTCAGTGTAGTCTTGTTAAAATTCCCGTCCTTGCAGGCAGATTGGGCTAGATCGCAGTTGGTAGCCAGGAATGGGAAGCGGACAGCGACCTTAACCCTAATCCCAACTTTAACCCTAACCCTAACCTCAACCGTTACTGTTAACCGTAACCCTAACGGCAACCCTAACCCTAGCCGAAATCGTAAACGTAACCGTGGCCCTTAGACATAGCCGTAACTGAGAAGTCCAACCGTAATACTGGAACCTGTTCGTACGCTCAAAACCTAACCAAAACCCGAAAACCGAAGCCTAAAGGCATAACCCTAACCGGAAAATCGAAAACCATTAACCGGTACTCTAATCCTAACCTCAAACGTAAAACGGAAGCCAAATGTGTCCGATGTGATTATGGTGGCCCACAAAATATCCCCCGTTATGCGGGTCCGGTCTACCAACTGCGATCTAGCCGGCAGATTGTTTAAATATTATGTGGTACCAGTACTCAGCATTTCAAAAGAAACGAGCTGTCCTAATTCGACACACATGCGGAGGAGATTAGCATTACGAAAACTGGTGAGGAGTCATCTCCCCCATATCAAATGGTCTGGAAGGCGCATGTTCAGCCGGACATCAGAACCCTAACTCTGTTTATGTTCAGTGCGACGTATATGCAATTGTACAAACGGTCTGACTTCAACTGTACACAGCTGCGGCAATCAAATGGTCATAAATTATTGTGGTTTTGAAGGCCCTCTTTCACCTCTTTGCAATTCATTCCTTCTGCTTGGCCTTCTTTCCTCCAGAAACCACACATTACTCAACAATTCTTAAAGCGCTTAAACACAAAACATCTTAGGACACTTGACTAGCTCGAAGAAAAAGCTCTTTCTCTAAGGTCGTGTTTTTGGAAAATCTAACTTGTGTGTACTGAGTCACCTTCAGTGACATGTGCTTAGTCACAGGCTCAAGCATTTCGACTAATAGTCGTGCGCATGCTGCAACCCGGGTGGGCCTTGGTGGACTGTGGGATCCATTGGATTAATCATTTACCATCGGCCGCAGTTGTGGTTTGCGGCGCAAAGGTTACCCTTGCCTCCCAGTGAATGATGCACATTTGTGACATGAGAAAATCACCTGCGGTCGCCATGGTAGACGAGAGTAATTTTTTGAAAGCCGGTCTCCGCGTCAATGTAAGCATTAGGTGCATCTTGGCTCAACAGCCCATCCAAAAACATGCTTTTACGATTTCACTGATCCCTCCACAAAAAGAAAGCGCTGCGTAAAGGCGAAGCACTGCGTGAAGAAAAACTCGCATGTCAACGAAGAATTCAAGACCGCATTTAGTGAGAGCTTGGATAAACTCTTGCCGCGCTGTAATAGCAGATTTATTTAACTGCTTTTCAATTGTGGAAAGAGCTGTTCATAAAAGTCCAACCACCTTTCGGGCTGTATTTTCTTTCTTTGAGAAGGTATTCGAATATGTTCAAATATGTGCTGGATGAACTACAGCCACCGTGTACACACCGCAGTTTAATTAATTAGGATAAATTCACCAACGGCTTCAAGCTTTAATTGTGTCCTCGATTTCTTAGTGAAGCTGCACACAAATCGTCCATCTCCGTTAGGTGCGTCCGGAATTGCATGTCTCAAACAAAATGGTTACTCCTTTGACTCGCAGATAGATTTGTAACTCAGGTATATAGCCGATGACTCAGGCTTCAAAGTAGGATGATGATAATTGGATCGGTTAAGGAAAATATAGATAACTGTTACCGTTTTGTCTTGTACCTCAAACCTTGCCCTATGTTCCACAGTTCTGCATCGTGTTTCGATCATCTGGAGGGATGTATGCTCAGGAATTACTGATGACGCTTTTAGTCGTACCATATTATCTCTTAGTTACTGACCATGCAACGACAGTTCAATCCCCACGAAAGGCGACGTCTGTCATGTGTCAAGGAGTGGGCTCTCTCTCTCTCTCCCGTGCATCAGTCGACTGTCCGAGCCTGTCAATTGTCCGGTGCTGAATTTGGACTCGCGCGGACTTTGCGCTGCCAGATTGGCACGTACCGCGAGCCAGTCTGGCCTACATTTGGGCCCAACGCATCTAGAGAGCAACTCGTTGTTAGGTCTGTATAGTTAACGCTATCGGGGAGCTTCTCAAGGTTATTTCTTGAAAAGCCAAGATTAACGTTTTGACTCAATCCGGCTGATTGTTCGTGAGCAGCCAAGGCTTTGCTGCCAATACATCTGGTCTATTTGGCGTGCAGTCGGTCAGTCTAAAGATATTAACTACCCTGAATCCCCGGTTAAAAACAACGGGACGGGAATATGCCTCTGCAATTCGCTGCGATGAGCACAGGCGGACCAAGGTCACTCGATTGCCCTGAGCATAGTTGAGGTCAGATTACTCATGCTTTCTATAAAGGCTCGCGTGCCACAAACATCCAGACTGGGTATCCACCGAAATATACATTCCATAGGGTGGTCGGGGACAGTATAGATATCTGCCTTTATTTTGTAAAATGTTGGGCTAGAGGAGACTCCAATGACTTATTTTTCGTTGCAGCTAGTCGCACAACAGCCTTAATTCACGAGAACCAAGCTTCGAACTTGAGCCAAGTTAGGCTTTGAGCCAACGATTCGCGAGTGCACTGACAGTTCATGCATTGCCGGCTGCAACCAGGCGTACACACATTTACATGTGGTGATGTTCAGTCATCCACAACAGTTGAACTTGGGTTCATTTTATCTGCCATAAGAAAATACACACATGATTGAGCCTCCCAGTAAATTGTCCTCTTGGAGGCCATTGTCCTCAGAGAACTGATCGTCAGCTAACGTGCCCTCGATGGTTTAATTAAATAATCAACCCAGCTCCTTGTCTTAATTTCGGGTATTCTCTGGAAACCGTTATTCAGTCACCGGGATCTATCGTACGTTCCAAAGGCTCATACGCATCGTCACTTGCTGCTCTGGCAGAGATAAAATCCTTTCTTCTAGAGCGTTTGTGACTTTGACAGATAGGATTCCGTCCTCGTGTGCAAATTACTTGTTCAAACGCCCGCCTGAGATATCATAGCACAAGCCACATGTAGATCCCAGTAAGATGATATTTTGATCGTTACTAGGCAGGGCGGACAGGGTGAATGCGCTTTCGCATCGTCAGAGCGAAATTCGTTGTTTCCGTGATCTTCTTCCAGTCCAGGAGCATAATAGGTGATAACACAAAGGCCACCCGTCTGGACATATTTAAACTTGGCTCATTCCTCCTAGAGACAAAAGTTAACAAAATCCCAAAGGGCTATTTAAAAGACAAGCCTGCTGATAGTATACGGGGAGGATTAAGTGTGTTTTCCAACCTACAGCTCGACTGTCGTGACTGATGATGTCCACCGTGTGCTCAAAAGCAAGCTGAGAGGAGACATGGCGACTGGTGCGTGAGTTAATTTATAAAGTAGTAAACTTGCGCAGGTTAGATCGGTTGGTAGCCAGGAATGGGGAAGCGGGCGGCGACTTAACCCTAATCCTAACCTTAACCCTGACCCTAACCTCAACTGTAAACGGTAACCGTTAACCCTATCGGCAACCCTTACGCTAACCCTAACCGAAATCGTAAACATAACCGTAGTACGTAGAAATAGCCGTAACCGAGAAACCTAAACGTAATACTGAAACCTATTCGTACGCTAAAACCCTAACCGTAACCCGAAAACCTAAGTCCAAGGGCATAACCCGAACCCGAAAATCGGAAACCACTAACCGGTATCCTACTCCTAACTTCAAACGTAAAACGGAAGCCAAATGGGTCAGGTGTGATTATGAAGCCCCACAAAATAGTCCCAGTAAGCAACCCCCCCCCAGCCATCTGTAATACGGGGCCTGGTTATCAACTGCGATCTAGCCCTTGCGCACCATCTACCGTTCTCTCTCCGCCCCCCCCCCCCCACCTGGATACAGTGTCAAGAAATAGTCAGAGAGACCGGTGGCGGAGATGAATGGCACGGCACAACCCGCATCTAGGAGTACAGTCCGGAACAACACTTGACCAAACTTTTTTTTACCAACAACAGCAACTGGGCGCGATGTCAAGACTGATTCAAGAAGACCGGAAGGCGCAGGTGGATGGCACGCTCGAGCCCGCACCTTGGCGCTCCACTCCACACCCCCCTGGTCCACACAGCAAATAACCAGGTTTTTGACTAACTACAACAATGAGGGAGGGGGGGGTGGGTGGCGGGGTCCCAGTGTGCGTGACGTGAGCCGCAACTCGGCCTGCCACCTCACCGCGAATGTTGGCATTTGCTATGCCGCGCATTCCCGAAAACGCCTGCCGGAATCCAATGTGACCTCCGTGTTGATCCAGCGCACCTGCCACGTGGCCCCTTTTGGGGGCAAGTTTATTGCAGGAGGTACATAACCACGCCCAGCATACGGGAGATTATAGGCGCAAACCAATTCATGCTTTACGGGAAAAGTTGCGATGTTTTACGGAATATTACCCTACAAGCGGCTTGTCTACTGGTCGTCTACATTAAAAACAGTCCAATCATGGAAATCACCCAAATAGAAAAAATCCGATGCTAATCTATATGAGGCGTAAGTGTTACTCCTAAAAAAAGAAGATTTGTAAGAAGATTGGTTTTGGTAGACTGCTATTTTGAACCTAGACCCGAATATGCCCGATGCGAATAACTGCATGCTGGTAAACCGGAGCATAAGTCACTTTAAACGAAGGACAAAGAATAAAACTCTCGACAATCTGTCCCAGAAATCCGGGCAGCTGGATAGTAGGGTTTTAGGCGTCGTTATGTCATCTGCAATGCCTAAAGCATGAAACATTTCCGAAATAATACTTCAAGATGTCCTACTTTGGCGTATATTAAGTTGCTTATATAATTGTTGCTCACATAATGCGGAACAAAGTGGAAAACTCCTATATTCCAAATTGCTGCTGAGTAAGAAGTCACAGACGGTAGAATTGACGTTGAAACCAAAAGATGCACTGAAATGTGTCCATCTGTTCAAAAAGATTCATTCACTCTTCCTAGAACATCGTGAAGAAGGACTTATGTGGACCTATCTCCACAACACCACGCTTTTCCAAGCCCTATCTCCGTTCGAGACTGTTCATACATGGAGCAAAGGAGAGGTCACCATCTGTTGTACTGTGTTGTCAGATTTAAAACAAAATTTTCCGCATTTTGTGCAACCGCCTGGGCTTTGATTTAGCTTATAATTTCTAGCATAGTAGGAAATATGGCGATTAATAGACTTCTTGCCAGATAACAACAGCGGAAATGCGAAAAAGGAGGTTAATATGGCAGTTAGTTGAGAATACGAACACGGAGTAGCGAAACCAAGAACCATGGAATAAGGGATTCTCTTTTTACGTCGCAATTAAAGAGTTCTTAGATGCAGGGATCTAAAGTCAGCTCAGAACATGAAAGAGCTGAACTGGCCGACTCGTTCGGTTAGCCCGCCGGCAGATTTTTAAGTAGGCGGCTTATAATAAGGATATTCACGAAGGCTAAGCTACAATTCTTCTCCCAAACGGTTAAACTATTGAGTGTACCGTCTGCCATTTGAATTAGTCAGTCATTTTAGCCCTATCCTGGTTTTAATCAAACAGCAAAAGGACATTTGCTTATACTGTTTCACGGCTTTAATTCTTTTTTGTCGTTGCTTATTTGCCGTTCCCTCCCCCCGCCCACCATTTGGTTCAGGCCAGGATGCAGATTCTTTGACCTCCATATCCATAAATGTCCGTCTTCCATTGCCAATAGAAGCGAAGAGACGAGTCCCAGGAAGTAGTCTTGAAGTAGGAGCCACGATTGTTGGGACAAGAGCTTTATTAACCTGACGTTTCGGGTTCCTGCTCGAACCCATCATCAGAGGAAACAGCAGATACGTCTTCCACTTGTGTTTCTGATGCGATGAATTACAGTGATTTTGCAGGCGTAGCACTACAATTTCTAAACATAACGGGTCAGGTGGGCAAGAACATTTATGTTAGTGACACCAACTCCTTATGAATATTTGCATGAGTACTGTTTGAGAAAAAAATGATGTTAACTTGAAGCCGAGGATCAACAGACTGGACTTACCGGAGCAATCAAACACCAGCACCCACTGACTGACGCCTTCTGGCATGCTTCTGACGGCATTCTCGAGAACATAGGTAAGGTGGGCGATGGCCTCGGCGGCAGTGTTCTTCGAGGTGGCGGCCTGAGTAAAGGAGGAGTAGAGGACTGGACGGCCGGCCTCGTCAAAGCCAACTTGACGCTGCCCAGATGCAGAGAGAGAGAGAGAGAAAGTGAGTTGTAGATGGCAAAATAAGGCCGATTCATAAATCAAGTCGCATGTTTTAAGAAAGCTATGTAATTGTAATGGTTTATGACTTAGCTATAACACATAGGGAGCTTAACAGAAGCGAAGAGACGAGCCCCAGGAAACAGTCTTGAAGGAGGAGACACAATCGCTGGGACAAGAGATTTATTAGCCTTTAGCTCTCCGAGGCAAAAGCCGTTATCTAGGGAACTGAATCTAATTAATAACCTATCGTATATGCACCGAGTACTCCGCCCCTGCAACAAATTGACCGCGCCTAGCAGCTGGGTAACTGAGTTGTTAACGTTCTCTTCGCAAGTGTTGCGTGGTTCCAGTTAAGTTAGTCCGAACGTCTTCTTTGCTAGAATTGTAGGTTCAGTCTTTTGTGTGAAAAAGACGCCGAATACTGCAAGCTGTTCCATCCGGATTAGAGTATGCGTGAAAGTATACGATGAGGAAAAGGAAACTTCGCAGCCGGAAGACTTACGAAAAATCTGTTGTGTCGATTTCCTCGCTGATGTCGAAGGTCTACAACGATCAACTAAAGGATAAGGGCACTCAACCGCTGGAATTATCCCCCTTCTTATTAATCCCAATGAGACGAGCACTGCATTTGTTGCTGGTGACAGACGTTGCGGTCGAGGCCTGTTTATTCTCGGCCAAGAAGGTCTGACTACACACTATACAGGTTGCTGTCGGCTCTTAGTGTGAGACAAGGTCAGCTCTTTTTTGCGGTTCTGGAGCGTATCTGTGAGTCCCACTCCCTGCTGCATAAAGCATTAATAAGCGCCATGTCCTTTTTATTCATTTGGTCACATGCGTAACTGCCATATATTAACCTGGTGGTATACATTGTTCCTGAAGAAGTGCAACGGCCGATGTCTCATGCGCAGATGTTTGGGGGTAAATGGATGAAAAGGGATTTGAAACATTTCATAGTCAATCCAGATGCATTTCTTCGTACATCTTGATCGAGAAAAGAAGAACCATAACTGATATCCATTGCGCACAAGAAAGAAATGAGAGAAGCGCCTCAAAATTCAAACATTCTTCAGCTTCATTATATAGGCCATAAAGTAGTAAAAAGTATCTGGATTGAGTTGTGATACCGATGACCAAGTGACCTTATTTCCAATAAAGCTACATACATCGGCACATAGAATTCTTGTCGACGTTGTGTCGATAAGGCCAATGGAAAGCAACGTAACCATTTCAGCTTACATACTTTGTTCTAAATAACTAATGAAGGCGACTTTCTCTCAGTTTATCGGCTGATTGTTTCCACGCATGTAGGACGACTAGACTCGGAAAACACATCAAGTCTGAACGACATTTCCAATTTCCAATTACATATTATCGTAGAAGATGTCGGCAAATAGTACATTGACAACGTTAAAATTTAACGAATTTACGTCCTTCATAAAAGACACATTATGAGGCTTTAACGAGTTGGTCACATCGTTAAACACATAAAGTGACTTTCTTAGGGTTGTTAAAGCTGATAGACAACCACATGTTTCGAAAGCACGTCCATACATTAATTTTTATGGCACAATATAATGACGCCCCCAAACACACATAAAATGACATCATAACTACGGAGCGAGAAGTCTCAATCCACTAACAAGTAACCATTTATGTCGTGTAGAAAACCCTCATCAGTTTTGCAAGAGAACAAGGAAGAAAACCTGTGAAGCACTCAGCATATAACAATCGCGTGTATGCTGTTATTTGTATGCAGTTATAAACTGCGGTTTTACATTTATGAAACATCTGTAGATGCAAGTAGACATAAATTCGAAAGTAGTATTTAACCGATTTGTTACACTCGTATAAACAGGGCAAGGTGTAAACTTGACGGAAAATGTATACAGGATGAGGCGAGGTCAATAGGGGAGATGATTAATACTTCTTTGACTTGCCCGTTTGTGTCGTGTTTGAAAGTTCATCAGCACATTACCAACCTAGTGAGCTTAAACAACTCACACTAAACCACTCCATCAAAGAAGTATTTTTATAAATGCCTACTGTAGGAAAGACATAAATCAACCAGGCAGAAGGGTAATTTTATCAGACGGAGCCACAACCTCACCGCCCTGCGGATAGTTTATATCGCTTTAGTCCTGACCGAGGAGGCAAGACTAGTATACACTGAGCCTAGCTTTTCTAACGGTATTATATTTGCATTCCGCAGGACACATCAGAAATTTAATCTGGACACATTCCTGTCGTTGAAAGGATTCAAGTTTATTTTAACGCAGTGTACAGCCGAATAGCCAGATCGATGGTAGATACTTATCGATAGTGCTCAACAATATTCGGTGGAATATCTAAAGTGCTCATTTCATCTTTTTCCGGGACATTATTGTTTTGCCTAGCCTTTTTACATCGAAGTTGAAAACAGGGTACAGGTTTTCTTAACTCGAGCACATTTGGAAAATTTGCCTTAGCAGTTCACTAAATTGTTTTAGTATTGGTGACCACGTCATTTTATGTGATCAATTTATAAGGCACGCTCTAAAACCAACAGTATATGCCGATCAAACTAGATGCGGACAATTTAGAACCCAAATAACGTTATGAAATACAACAAACACTTGATCATGCGACCCTTAACCCATTTATTTGCTTCCGGGTTGAAGTTACCAGGCGGTCTTTGCCTTTGGTCATGTCTGTGCATAGCGCCTCCGCCAGAGATATTTATGTTATCGCGCGAACCAGCCCCCACACACAATGGCAACTGCGCATCACGTCCTTCAACTAAGCGATATTTCCGGTGAGGACTGGGGAGGACCAAAATACACCCAAATCCCGGCGAATATACAACTAGCACGCAAGGGAAATAAGCCTAACTCAGTGAGAAGTTTTATTGATCTTTGACCTGACCATAGCGTGCCGGCTTGTGCTCTTGCTCCGGATTGAATTTATTCTGTCGCTTAAGTACTCACTTGCGTCCAAACAGAATGTGCGTCAACCGCTGTTAAAAACGACATTTAAAGTGTGTGTGTGTGTGTGTGTGTGTGTGCTTGGTGGTTGACTGACCTCTCGCCCGCATGAATGTCCGCAAGAGCGGACAGACTGATTAAGGCAGGTCTTAGCAATGACAAGAACAGCAGCCCTATGTGCTACGACGAGGGTCTCATCCACACCGATACCAACCACTGACACCTATTTTTGTGACCAGATGCTCCGCCAAGCGCGTTAATCGCAATAACCAGAGTCCTTCTCGAAGCCCCCTTCTTAGTCGGCCGTTGACCTCAGTCGGGACTCGTCCTGACCTCGCAGTAAGAAGCTTAGATCTGACCGGTAGCATGCAATCGCGTCGACTTTGGTGCGAGCAAGACTGCGGGTCCTGCCGTACTGGTGGAGGTGCTGATGTGTCGATCCAAATGTCATCCTCAGACCTAAGCTGGTGCATCTACCGGTCACATCACGGGGGTGGCAGGAGATTAACTGAGAAGCAAGAACCTCATGTTTGGGCAAATATGCGTTCTCTTCAGCAGTACCTGTACACTGACCTTCTTAGGTATGCATCTGCAGCCGCATTAACAAACGAGTTCACACACGACTTCCCTTTTAGTCAATTCCGAATTTGCACTGAAGCCAGACAACCGTAATTAACTTATTTTAAACACGCAATCAGCGATGCTGGCGGTGTTCATCGCAATTAACTAATAATAGCAAAATCACATGTTAATCCTGTGACATTCCAACACACCTAGCCTTATTTTTTCATAGAAATCTGAAACATTATAGATAGTATTAGATCATATTCCCTATTCTCAGGATTCAGACACGCTTGTTAACATAGACAAACATATGTCCTTGAAATTTGAAACAACCATGCTCGTGTGTCTACTGTAAATATTACTAATTTATTTTCTGTCTGTAAAACTTGTAATACTACCTGCTCTAGACAAGTTCCCGCCTACTCCTCTGCCCCAAAATCGCCGTCTGGAATCCAAACTGATCACTCAACCTTGTCGTTCGGTGAGCAGCCGAAGTATAGTAGGATCTAATTCTTTGAAAGATTTCGGAAGAAGGGGAAAGTCTGATTTTCGAAAAGTTGGTTTCTCTATTGACTTCACACAACTGCGCTGAGAACAACAAGCACATTGCGTCAGCCAGTGTGACTGATGAACGAAAGTTTATGGAATGGAACGAGTCCCAAGCAGGGGAAGGGGAAGTTGCCTGAGTCGTCTGATTGGGTGGCAGGAAGCGATCAACTGCGAAGTATATCCGAAAAGTTGAGAGAAATCCCAGATCAAGTACTGCGCGCCTTCTACGCAGGGCACGAGAATATAGATCAACGCATAAAAGATGGCGGTGTCACTGTAGTGTGAATCCTACCTTCATTTTCTGTTCATACTTCAGTATATCAATTAAAATGTTGTCAGGAGAGTTTTATGCTAAAGTGGTGTACAGTGAGGAAGCAGCGTCACGATATGTCCTTCGACATGGTCCCTTAGTAGAGGAACCTTCTTGCTGTAAGTGCAAAAGGCCGATAATGTTCAAGAGAAAGAAGGGTCGTGGACAGAATGTTCCGATAAAGAGGTGCAGAAGAAAGGATAGCCAGCCTGTTTTATAAGTTTTATGGGAACGAATCCCTCCATTATCGTGAATTGAGTGGGGGAACCCGCCGTAATTTGAGGCTCTGTATAATTTTAGAGCTATTTTATCCCTGGAACAACAGAATGCCACTGGAAGAAGTGGCAAAACTTACTGATGGATCTGAAAATACTGCGGGGTTCCACAACATCTACTTAATGGGCGCTTGAATAAACACTGGTTGTGTGCCTTCAAAAGAGATGAAGCCCACTTCGTGGAAATCCTACGTGATATTTCAGGAACTACCTGTTGTCTGATTTTTATTATTTAATTCGATTTAATTTTCATACTATAGATAATATATTTTAAATTCGACTCTGGTTTTTAACCAGTGTTTGTTGGGGTAGGAATCACGCCATAAAAGAACACCAATAACAAAAAACACGTTAGAGTAGGACACAAATTGTAGGCATCACGCTAAGGTAGACACCAAACGCCCTAGTACTAAATTCTCCGGGGGTCGAAATAAAGTTTAGTTTTGGTATAAGAGAGTTAAGTTACGGTCAGTATTAGGAGAGTTAGTGTTAGGGTTTGGATAAGGATTGAAAATAGTAAACGGGAATAGGACTCCGCTAAAATTTATCCTCAGATCATCTGCCGCATGGGGGTCCATATTTTCCTGTCTGCCTGCTTTCTAATCAGTAGTCACAGTGGCAAAGGCTTGTAGTAAGGATATAAAGGCAGAACGAAAACATAACTTCCACTTATCAACCTGTAGTAAGTAATTAGTATGAATCAGCCACCAGAGGCCAGGCGACTGAGACGACGAATATTAGATCAATTTCTTCTACCAGGTAGTTGCGACCCAAGCTCAGACTGTGATAGACCAGATGACAGAAATCGGATCCAAAAATCCGAGTCACAGAGATCTGAGAGGTTCCAAATGTGAGGTGAAATACAACAGTCGGTCGACAGCATATTAGAACACCTATGTCGTGTAAAACTGACCACTGCCCCCTTCTACGATACGGTTGATGAGGAACCTCATTAGGATGTCAGGGCAAGGCGGACTGCGTCCTTATGCCAGCGTATGTTCACCACGCTGAGAAGTACTTAGTTACGCAATAACTGTGAGGCTCTTCCAGTATGTGTATGTGTACACACACACACAGACACAGTGGTACACGCATACGCGCTAGCAGCATCGCAAACACACATACTGGGACTGACAACAGCAGTAGCCCAACACACACACACGCACACATAAACACACAAACCACTTTACCACCCCGCATCCTTCCCGGACTGCATCGCCCCCCAAACGGGTAACGAAGTAGGTGCGTAGGGCCAACACGGGGGCAGTATCGGATTCTGGCGGGCGTTATGGGCATGTGCACCATAAAAAATGCCATCATCCCGGTTGCCGGCTGACGTCGCGCTAACCGGGATCCGAGTCGCCTCGCCACATCTGTTGTTGGTTGAAATCCTGGTCATTCGCTGTGTGGACCAGGAGGTGTGGGGTGGAGCACCGTGCTGGACCGTGCCATCCATCTGCGCTCTTCTCCGACTGCGGTCTTCTTGACTTTGTCTTGACACTGAGTCCAAGTGGGGGAGGAGAGAGTGAGGTGGATGCTGCGAAAGTCCACTTACAATATAAATTAATTCACGCGCGAGTCACTGTGCCTGCACTCAGCTGGCTGTGGAGCACACGGTGGACATCGCCGGCAACGGCAGTCGAATTATCGTGTGTGTAGCTGAACACGTCAGCAGTCGAAGCTGCGCCACCGTACAGGCACGTTCGCCTATTTTCACTTGCATATTAAACCTTGAGAGCCCATCGTCATAAGTAGTCATACGTTACTGCCGGCCTTTGCAAGCAGCTGCCCGGACACTCTCACTCACTGGGGGCTGTCCTATCAAAATCTTCTTCTTGACTCGTTCTCCACTAACCTCTAATGGCAATAAGTAGCAACCCGGGTGGTACCCACAAATTTTGCTTCAAAATCAGACCAAATAAGTTAGGTCTCCACAAAAGTGACATGAATAATTCTCATTTCAGTTGATGACAGGTCCCGTTGCTTTTCAGCTGGAAAGGGTGGGATGTGATCTGCAGCAAAAGCAATGTTAGTCGATCGACTTTAAGCCCTTTTGGCGCGCACGCGATCACTAATGATTGACTTGGAGGGCGCAAACACAATAGAAAAATGACTTTCCAATGCTCCTAGCTGGGTAGGCGCAGTCTTTAAGGCAAGCGCACTTTTTGCCGTGCGTGAAATCTGTTTTCGATATTTTAGTGACCGGACTTGAATCATATAGGCACCAGTTAGATGGAAACCTGTATATTGCATATAAACTTGGGATGTTTAATTTAGAAGGCGTGAATGACAACCTCCCCGAAACCGTGCGCTAGGCAGTCAGACGACTTAGTCAAATTGGCAAATATTAACTTTAATAATTATAGCCAGTAACATTTAACAGAGGATGGGTTGTGGAATAACCGCGAACATAGATGGGGCTGTTGCAAGCAAAAAGTCGGGCCAGATGCGGTTATGTGGCTCCACCTGAAGTAAACAAACCCCAGCCATCTCTAATACGGGACCGGTGGTAATAGGGGGTTTTACAGGTGGGGGCGGGAACGTACAGGTGACGGGGTCAAGTAATTGTATGCAAAAGAAAAACTATCGGGAATGTGCGGTTGCACTTCGAGTGGTTGAGAAAAAGTTGCCCTAACCCCTAACCCTAACCCCTAACTCTGGCCCCAAGCCTAAACCACTAACCTTGACGCCTAACCCCAACAGTATTGTGTCGATCAGTGGAACTACATAACCACATATTAGCAAAGGTCGAGACCGCAGAAAAATATGTGCTCGTTCGATAAATGCAGGTTCGAACACCTTGATGCAAACGTAGCGCATAGGTTACTCTGTTGTGCAAAAAGGCTATTCAATGAAGATTACCTGCTCCATAAATTTCGCATTTCCGATGAATAATATGTCCCCATGACTACATATTGTCTTGCTCATGTCTATGGTAAAAGCACACATTCATAGTTGTCGAGGCGCAGATAGTGACGGGGCTACCACCCACGCCTTCGTCGTACTTTTCAGAACTTTCATTTTGCTAAATTCCTCTGCATTGTTTTGCGTTAAGTCGTGTCCTTTATCTGCCCACACAAGTGGTGACGATTTGGAGCCTGATTCAGCCACATGAGTAAGCAGTCAGAAGACGCACAATATTTGTATCCCCACAGGGCATAATGGAGATCACGAAAAACTTTTGGAATCAGGCTTATTTTATAGGCCAACTTTACTCTCTTACTCCTCTTATATCGAATATCCTTACTTAGGGCTAAAAATAGTGTGGGAAGGAAAAACAGCCCAAAAACGTAAATATGCTAACTTGTCTGTACTACCTAGGTGTAACTAGTCAACTACATGGGATTTGTATTTACCAAATGCTGTTGAGATAAAGGGATTAGGATAAAAAATACGTCGAAAACGATTTGCCATAAGGGCTAGCTCTTACTTAGTAACCGTACCTGCAGTAGGCAAGTCCCAGTCTAACCCCTAACTCTAACCCCCACCGATAATCCCCAACCCCTTACAGGTACGGTTACGAAATAAGATCTTGCCGCCATAATAACAGGTAATCGATCGTTCAAAAATTTGCAAAAAAACATGGACATGAAGGAAAGTCAAGTTCAAATAATTCATCTATAACGCTGAGTAATGGGGCACCCTACGCCACACGGCGTCACTCACATGACTAATAAAGTTCAGGCATTGTGGGTCGAAATCAGTAGATAAAAAACGCGTCATGTTAGAAGACATTTTTTTATAATTTTATCTGGAAGCGCTCATATTATGCACACGTGACGGTGTTTCGGAACTGTGGTCCACACCGAGTGAGCTTCGCGGTCGTTAAAATAAAATACGCTTTCACATTGCAGAAAGTCTTGGTGGGCGCCGGAAGTTCAGATTACTACTGCTCGCAATAATATTTTGCCACTTCTATCATTAACATCACTAAAGGCTTCTGTACTTGTGCACTTTCTAAGTTTCTGAATTTACTGTGACAAAAGAACTATTTGAGAGCGGAGCTCATGCATTTTGTATGTTTGATTTCGGGAGATATGCCAGACTGCCCAAGATCGAATACTGTGTCCGCTTTCTGGCTTGTGAAAACCAAAAGGCGGTGCAGAAAGGAACAACTGTAATTACGGCAAGGGCGATCAGCATCGGCACTTTGTTCAGAGAGCAATTATGCTGCTTATGCATCAGCTGCGGGAGTCGAACTTTCTCGAGCCAAAAGCGTGTTTACTGGACTTTCCACATCTGTGTACTTTAAAAATGTTCGTGAGTTGTTTGAACGCATGGACGTATGGTGGGAAAAGCGCCATAGATAATGCTACTTTTTAAGAAAAGCAGGATTTTTGGAAATCCTCTGTTGCCCTATGCGTAGTAAATAATGTGACAAAAAGACGACCTCTTCGGGTGACAAAACTGTCTCGTTAACACGGTTTATGACACCTACTGCACAGCTCTTGACCGTCCTTGACTGCAGTGAGAACCATCCATGGTGAATGCACTCGACAAACAGACATAAATGCTCCCTTCGCAGGATTTAGGTGTAACCGCGC